GCCGGTTGTTGTGGTACGACTTGGGCTAGTGGCGTTTGTATGGCCGTTCGGATTGTTGGGTATCCGCGGCCTGCCTTTCCCTCGTACTCCGGCTTTCCCATGGTATATTGCCGGACATAGTCCCGGAATTCTGCCGGTGACTTTGGTATCCGGATGTCCAGAGCGCGGCGCAGTTCTGGCTCTTTCACATTCTCCCTCAGGAAGTGGAGGGTCATGGTGTCGTCCAAGCCAGCGCGCGTCTGGAGAGTCAGCATGGCGTCATAATACTGCTCAGGGGTTTCGGTCAAGTGTTGATAGTACCGATGGGTAATTTCCCCCATGGCAGTGGCCTGCTGATTATCATCACCATATCGAGTGGCAAACTTCTGGAGCCACTCCTCCACTGTCCAGCCATCCTCATCTTCGCGGTTGGCTTGGCCAGTGTACCATTCCTTTACGGGGTCCGATAGGGCCATGTAAATGCGGCTCATAAAGTCTGGATCTGGTTTGTTCAGATCGGACGACTGCTTACAGATCCGTCGGACCTGTGCAAGCCATCCTTTCACCATAGTTTTGTTGCCGTCAAATTTTGGCAACACGGTGCGGACTTGAGCTCTCGCGGTGGCTTTACCCATCTCTTGGGCCATTTCCTTGATTTGCTCTCTGGTTGAGAGAGCTGGACTGACCGGTGGTGACGGGGCAGGTGTTAGCTGCAGTGGTATCTGCGGCACCTGCTGGGGTTGAGCCAACATTCGCTGTCCCGGTATAAGCTGGATGGCCCCGTTGGACGCCATCCATGCGTATGCTCCATTCGGGAGCTGGACCAACATGGGCGCATTTTGGCCCTGGCCTGGTTGGGCTGCTGGTCCTGGTGGCATGGCCGCTGTTGGCGGTATGCCTGGTGGGTTGGGCACGTTTTGGCCCGTGGGCGTGGTTTGGCCCATCTGCGGCTGAGCTTGGCCCGTTGGGGCTGCCGCCGTGGTAGGAGGGCCAAATAGGCTTAGTTGGCCTACTAGTGGTGGTTGCACCGTTGGTGTACCACTTTGGCCTCCCATCTGTCCTTGTGTGGCTGGTGGCCCGAACATTGGGCTCGGCAGGCTGGTCCGGTTTGGATCCATGCCGCTGGTGTGAGCCTGGCTTGTAGCCGGGTGTGGACTAAAAGTGAAGTCCATGTTCGGGAATATGGACGGATACAACGACGGATACTGTGGCCTTGACCCAAAGTAGTTGTGGCTGGGTATTGCCTGGCTTGGGTCGAAGCCTGGCCCGCTTGACGTAGACGGATGAGTCTGCGTTGCGGGTGTCACTATCGTCGTTGGACCGATAGTGGCTGATGTAGTGACCGGGACTGGTGGTGGCGGCAGCGTTACTGTCGCCGTTGATGATCCCTGGTTCACTGGGCTGGGAGGCGTAGGTATGGTTGGCCCCGTTGGGGGATGTCCAACCGATGGTCCTTCCACAGCCATATTCGCTTGGTAATGCTGCTGATGATACACTGGCTCTCGGTAGAAGCGTTGGCCCTGCCGCAGAGCCTCGTCGACTTTGTCTTGTCGACGTTGTGTATCCGAGTCCGGAAAGGTATGATAGGATGGTGGTTCCGCGGACATCTCAGAATGTAAGTTCTGGAGATGCGATTTCTCCGCGTCTAAGCAGGCGTTTTCCGTGCTTAGCCTTTCCAGGTCCTCGTTCAGTTCGGTTATTCGTTGGGTGGCCGCCTGGTAATCTTTGACCAGGCCAGCGTTATTGGCCTCCAAGGTGATGATCCGGTCGTGTTGGCCCTGGATCACCTGTTTGGCTTGGTTGAAGGCCTGCTCCAGTTGGACAAAGTTTTGGTGTCCAATGGCGCTGTTCTGCTCAAGTTGGACCCGAATGGTTGATTCGGTCTTGAGCTGGCTCTGGAGGGCAACGATCTGTTGCTGGAGTTGCACGTTCTGTGCCTCCTTCTGTTGAACCGTTTGGCTCAACAGTCCTCCTTGTTGAATCGTCTTCATGAGATTTTGGTGGCTCTCATAAAGAAGATTGTAGCCGTTCCGCAGGCGATTGATTTCGTCCTGCAGGTTGGCCAAGTCGTCGGTAAGACGCTCATTTTCATTCGAGAGGCGGTCCGCCTCTGAATCGGTTTCATCGATTGTGGTCCGGGCCGCAGTCAGGTCATCCCTGGCTTTGGCCAGCTCAGTCCTCGTAGAGGTGAGCAAAGCTTCAAGTCCCGCCACAGCCATTTCTAGGCTGTGGATTGTCCTGCCGAGCTGGTCCCGCTCAGCATTGGGACATGGTGACAACTTGAGCTGGGTTAGCTCAAGTTGGGTCTGGGCCAGTATGGCCGAGACACGTTTAGCCTCTGCGTCCGATTGGACCGCAAGGTCTTTGTGTTTAGAGACTTCGTCCTGCATCCAACGTTCGGATGCCAGGGCGGCCTCTGCTATGTCCGCCAGCTGTTTGGTCAGGTCCCGTACTGTGGTCCGAAGTTGGTCGACTTCGTCGATCTCCTCGGGCCGGGTTGCCTGGATCAGCTTTGGCGGGGTGACGCTGGCGCTGTTTATGTCCCAGGCGGGCTGATTAAGGTCCATCCTGGCTGTGGCCCTGTTTAATTGTGCCAGGTCCACAATTGGCTCTTGGTCCGGTTTGGACGGGCCAGACGCGCCGATGACGTCATTGGTCGGCGATGGCGTTGTATGGGTTGAGCCATCGACTTCAAACATGATTGGCGATTGACTCACGGGCTGTTGGCCCTGGTCATGTGCCTTTGGACCAGCCTTTTTGGCTTGGCCCTTTGCCTTGCGTCCACCTTTGGCCACCGTTGGTGCCTCAGGTTGGATCTGGTCCGAGCCCGATAGGGTTGGACGTGTTATCAGACCCTGGACGTCAAGGTTGGACCGGGCCAAGTCGTTTGGCCCTGGTCCATCAATGCGTGTCTTGTCCTCACTTGTGGCCGCTGTTGGCGCCTCAAGTTGGACTTGGCCCGGACCAGGTATGGCCGGTTGTTGTGCCAAGTCCCGAGGGACACTGTTGGCCTGGGCCGTCCTATCGGCACCAGGTTGGCTGTCCTGAGGCTGGTTGGCCTCGGACAACTCGTCGGATGCCTCCAGGAATGTGTCGTCCCGGGTGGCGTCCAGACTTTCGTCGCTGGTCTCCAGGTCAGCCGGCAGGATTTGTTTGTCCCGCCTGGCCCTGGCCTCGACCGAACTCGTAGAGCCGGCCGAGTTTGGCTCGTCTGGGTCAGAGCTGGTTGGCCTGGCGCTACGAAGCCCGTAAGGCCCCGTTGGTTGGCGCATGGCGTAGTTCTTCCCGCGAGGCCGGGTGTATTCGTTTGGCTGGCGCCCGTCCATAGGACTAAGCAATCTCCGTTGGAGTTGCTCATGGCTGGTGTAAGGCATCACCTTGGCCAAGGCGCTTTGAGTTTGGCCCATGGTATTGGGACTTAGGTAAATCTTTGGTCTTGGTCCGGACCGGAACGGGTTGGATCGCTGTCGGTGCTGGTCAGGTACGCTAGAGCTCAGGTTTAGCGTTAGCTTCCTATGGCCCTATGTTACGTTACCGACCAGTGTGACGTCAGTTACAAAATGGTCTTGCAAAAAGCTCTACGTCACGAGTAGCGTGCCGTGAGCAAAAATTGCAAAAAAAGTATGAGTCACTATGACTATTATAACACGGGGAAGTTTCCCACGCGTTCTGATTGGTCAGAAATTTATGGAAAATAACCACGCTGACGTCACGCGACTTTTCGCGAAAATTCCGGCTGGACAAAATGGCGGTTGTTTTTCGCCGATAATTCGTTAAAAATTATGGAAAAATTTTTCGAGAGTTCTGTTCTATTTTTCTAGGACAGAATTTTACGAGGAATCCGAGAAAGCAACTTCTATGCAAATCGGACTTAAGGTTCAAAAGTTATGCAGGGTTAAAGTTACGGGTTCTTCCGAAAACCTCGAATTTTTCAAAGTTCTACGAAAGCCCTACGACGCCACAGCAGGTCTTACCGGTCGTTTTTCGATCCAAACTGCTGCTCCGTCGTTCCACTTCACCCTTTTCAACCGTAAGGGCCGCAGCGCACCCGATAGGGCGTAATGGGGTTACAGGACCGTACCGAACGCAGTTTTTGCGCCGGGAGCCAAAGCTGCGGGAGGCCCACTTATGAGCCTGACCCGTATTAACGCAACCCGGTAGGGCGCTTATTTGGTAAACTGCGACGTACCCAACTCAGTTTTTGAGCGGGGAGCCAAAGCTGCGGGGGACCTACTTATAGGCACCGACCCGTATGAATAATCCGTCGCGCAGCAGACTTCCAATGAAGCCTGTATGATGCAGGGGATGATGGTCGCGGGTTTGCTGGCCTACTTATAGGCAATCAGCGTAGTTCGACCGATTATGCCTTCACTGGGGATCAGAGGTTCCAGGAAAGAAAACCGAGCGAATCTGCTACCATGTCAGATATGACACAGAAGCAGAACGAAAAGTGGGGCAAATATCGCCTTTATTGGGAACAATAAAGCAACCACAAACAAACACAGAAAACCAATGCGGTATCACTGTGGAAAAAGTAGCTGCGAGCGCGCAAGTCAGTAAAATGGTAATGATGCAGCGTGCTGCGGGTACGCAACAGCTGATGCCGTAAAGCATGGGATCGCTCGTAGGCGCTGGGCTACGCCCCCAAGAGTGCGGAAATGCGCTGATTGGTCAGCGTAGACAAAGTATACGCTGAGTGAGCAGCGTAATAGCGCGGCACGAATGGAGTAGCCGTGCGCGAGCGGGCGACAGAGCAAAGCCACAAGAGGTGTCTACCGCCTCGAGTGTGCGGTCTCTGACAAATGTTAGTTTCAAGTAATTTTTTTAATAGTACATATACGAAAAAGCAAAGACTAACGCATTATAAAGAGCTCGCGAAGCGCAAACGGCAGAGTAAATGCAAATGCAACGTTCCCAATGTAATCGCGTTGGTGCCACTCGTCAGTATTAACTGCATCAAACAAAAGATCCTTTCCAGTGAGACCAAATAACACAAGGCAGTCGAACCATTAACCAGCAATTTAAAGCTGCTCGCCGCTGTCCTTTGGGATATCCGCAGCGCAGCACATGCCCCACCTTGGAGTTGCCATCTGACTTTCCATGGTCACCCACGTATTGGCGAATACGTCGTAAACTTCCATAACTTTCTGAGTAATCCTGGAATAACCACCCAGGACGTAGATTTTATCTCCGTAGCAGCACGCTTTGGAGGAATATGCCGGGCGACTCACTGCACCTACAAACCAGGCGAAAACGCCGTGATGAACTCCTAATATACAGTATGTACACCCTGTCCACTCCAAGTTGGCGGCACGACATTTTATTTTTCTGCCGAATCGTGTTGTGCGTGAATATCCTCTATTTTAAAAGTTTACAGTGCAGTTTTCTCTTGCGCATTTTCTGGGTGTAAATTTACTCGGCTTTTTGTTGCGGTGCCGCGACCAGCACCTTCCGAATCGAAGGCATCGATTGCACGATGCATGGCAGCATTTAAAACGAATATAATTCACCCAGAAATTCAGGAACAACTTTAGGCGCTTGAAATTAGGGTTATTTTGAGGAAAATTGAGAGACTGTTTCGTGAGGAAAAACTGAAATTCGTTTGCTGGACCAAACCCGCAAAACGCGACGGGGAGCAAAATCGTTTTTACTCCAAAGCAAAGCTCAGCCCGAAAAAAATTGAAGTGGCCATTGGGATTTCTCAGTCTCCAAGGTCGCGCTCTTAATTTGCGAACGGTGATGCAAAAGTTGACACCCATTTTCTCCTGAATTGTATTTTGCAAAGCATGGTCAAAAAGAACTTCCCACGGCTGCACGGTGACCTCGCGAAGGAGACCGCTCTACATTTTGACCACGCCCACCGCTAAACCGCTGCCCTGACCCAGGAGGGACTTTAAGTCAAGTCTGTCAACTGCACTCTGAAGGGCCACTGGGTAGGTAACTTACCCAAATTGAAGCCGGTGGACTAAAGCATACGTGGGAATTTAAATAAATTTTGAATAATGAGAATGCAGCCACGGTAGCTAAACTGCATCGCATTGTCAACGGAGGCTGCTCTAGTTTTGATATTCTTGTGATCTGGATTTTAAGTTGCTCAAGCGTCTGCAGCAGTTCTTTTCGGTTTTCTGGCCCAAATTCTGACATATTAGATAATTTTCTTTACCTTAATAGTTCTTTTAATTGTATGGTCCTCGAGCAAAGTAAATCCGACTCTGAAGAACTAACAATCTACTGCGCAGCGCTGTTATTTGGCAGCCTGACTAATTGACGTTTTTTCTGAGAAATACTTCAGCAATCAAACAAAAGGAAAAATATGGTTGGGATACATGAGGAAGACGTAGAAGATACCGTGGGATACGGCGGGCGGGATACTGTGGATACAAGCAAAACATCACGTCTCGAAAAATTAATGTGTACGAAGACGTCCATATCTACTAATGTTGTGCGGTGCAATATGCCATGATACCAGTACCGTTCGTTCTTGAATTCCGCAAATTTGCAAAAAGCATTTTGTTGTAATGGATCCATAACAGTAATGCTCGATCGCTCAGTGCTCTTTATATTGCTCGATCGCAACTAATTGTAGCGAAGCCTCATCAAAATTGCCTGGACAGCAAAACAGCAATGACCTTGTGCTAACCAATCAGTTCAGCACCCACCCATCCTCATAACGGTAAAGCGTAACCGATGACTACAGTACTAGCGTTTGGGTGCTTGATCTGTCTTCATAGACATTTGCTTAAGTAAACAAGGGTGATCAAACATGCGTCTCATACGGTTTGTGCCGGCCTTTTAGATTCAGGATTTTTGCTTGCACAAAATGTTTCCATTACAGCAAAAATAAGAAAACGTCTACTCTTAACTTGGTTACACCGCTTTGCAGAAACCATACAATATATAACAGAATAAACCAGCACATTTTTTCGAGCGTCCACTCTTAGCCTTTCTACTCAGTTCGCCAATTTACACATGAAACCCTTGGTTGTGCTCCAGTACCCCGCAGCCGAAGGCCCATTTTCCCCGTGGTAGCTGGTGTTCACTGATCGTCCATGTTTCCGAAAATGTATCATACGTATCGATCGTTTTTTGAGCTTCACTTCCTCATGCCGCCCAGCACATATATTTTGTCGCCGATGCAACAAGCGCCGACGGAATACAGCTGATGATTCATGTCACCTGCGACCAAGAAAGTCTCGCCATGGCCTGCATTAGTTGTGCGGAAATCACAGATCCGATAAAGACAACTTACATTTCTTGGCCCATCGTTTAGTCCGCGGATGAAAAGCCTCGACACAGCTTAAAGCGGTCACAGGACTGCCGGCACATCTGCCTAAAAAGCGATCGAGTTTTAATTGTGAAATAAAAAAACTTAACACTTAAGCAATAAGCTGCAGTGAAACGCTTTAGGAAGGTATATATGTACGGAGGGGCAGCCAGTGAAATCGCCTTACTTCGGCACTGAAGAGCCATTGGTAACTTTTACTGTTTTACATAAGCTTCAAACAATCAGTTACCGGACGCCATGTTATGCCTTGGACGATTAACGAAGTAAAGTTAGTATCTGAGTACCAATCACGTAAATCCATCCATCAGAACCGACGCAGGCTGAAGCGCGGTAGCGCGCCGTAGGCATCTTGGGCAGCTCAATCCAGATATCCGAAGTCGGCTGGTAGCAGAATGCCAAATCGGTAGCTATCTGTGCGTGCGACGTGCAACCTCCAAACACGAACAGCTGACCATCGCAGCAGACAATCGCGAACTTCACCAAAGGTGTTGGTAAAGATTTCACATACGTCCATTGATTGTTGGTCACACTGTAGCACTCTACTGTGGCTAAAGTGTGAGCCAGGCCACAATGACCACCCAATATGATCATATGATCAAAATAAAAATATGATCATCAGCGCTGGCAACACCGAGGTCACCACGGGCTGTTTGCATCGACGCCCTATTATTCCAGTGATCGTAAAGGCTGTTATAGCGAATTGTCCTTGCTGTCACATCCGTGTCCTGTTGACCGATAATGCCACCGCACAGGAACAGGACGTTGTTAATGATGGCCAAACCACCTTTGGCAGCGCTATCCGGTAATCGTGCTAAACATTTCCACTTTGAAGTCCGCGGGTTGAAGTATTCTGCGTTGTCCATCAGCGATGCCGAGGTCGAATCACGACGGCCGCCGGCACAAACGATAATATTCTCGAAGGCTAAAAAGCCAGAACAATGTCCCTAAATTAAATTTTAACACGGAATACTGGATTCGGTCTGACGCTGGTACAAAGAAAACTCACCATACGATTTTCTTGCAGTGTGGCGGACAGAGGGTGGCTGTCTGATATATCCCGGCATTTCATTTAGATAATCAAACGAATGCAGAGCTTCGATGGCGTCAGACCGCACAACCTTTTCTGCGTCAAGGTAATCCATGAACGCTTTCATGCAGGCCAGCAGCTAGTCATCACTGCACTGCGGACTGAGATATGACTGCCGAATGTTCTGCAAAATCTGCCAGAAGTGCCCACGTCGCTGCTCGAAATCGTGCTGCAGCCATCGAACAACGGCCACCATCACATCGTCTTCCCGCGGAACCCATAACCGATCGGAACAAATCAGGTCAATTACCTGGCAAAAATAACATACAAACCCCCAAGTGCCATTGCAATGGGAAAAGTCCGGTATAGTTGCACGGAATCTTATTTGCAGTGATGATAACTAAATCAAAACCACTTACCGTATTTTTTGGCACTTCCAGAAAGTCCTGTCCTTGCGAGATGCTCATAAAATGTCTGAGAACCAACTCTTTGGCTTTGTCGGCCAGTGCAGAATTCTTGTGAGCATCGGAACTGGCAAAACAATACAGCATCAGACAATTCTTGACATGCATATGATCTTCCATAAATTTCCAGCAGGCATCCATGACGGGGACAATATCCAGAAACATAGCCGCAATCAGCAGCGACTGTACGTTGTTCTCGGTGAGAAGCAGGTCCGCCATGTAGCAGTAGTCAATCAACCTGTAAAACAACGATTAAACGATGACAGTGCTCGTACGGAAACATCTTCACCACCTAGGCGCCATCATGAAATTAAACATAGTGTTAAAAGAGCTGCGCAAGCACGAAATAATAATTATACGATCTGATGTTTATGTAGTCCAGATCACACTTGAAAAACATTCCTTAGCCAAAAATTCGGTTGTCGGTTCACCACTTTTGGTCAAAAAGCACTTTTAGGTTTTCAAAATGTTTCGCTTGCGAAAGATAAGACTCACTCGGACAGAACAGCGTGGGGAATGTTGTGCAGCTGAATGACTTTCTGTTTGGACTCTTTCATCCCGGAGAGAAACATGGTGCGAAAATACACACTATGCACACTGAGAACACTGCGATGACAAGGAACCCTGGGAGATTGTGCTTCGGCACCTCGCAGCTCCACATCGCAGAACGTTCTTGCAGCCCGCAGTTTCTGCCATTCGCGACACAAATCCACGTTACTAGCTCCAATACGCGTGGCACTCTCATCTTTCTGAGAACAATGGTCAGTTTGGCCGACCTGTTCACCAGCCCCAATGGATGACATCCTCGAACGTCACGTGGAATCACTCTACCAAAGCACAGAACAACAAATGCGGACGATGCAGAACAAGCAGAGAGCTAAGTACGGATGTTCCCGTTTTATAGTTCGTATTATGAAACGCGACAGAAAAGCCGTTCCTGTAGCAAGCCAGAAAGATTGAGAACTAATTAATCAAACGGACTCACACCACACGTTATGGTTTTTGAAGTAAGAGTACTGTACCTGCTACAGGTTTTGTGCTGTTTGTGTTTGCTGGCAGCAAAACGCAAAGTCGCAAACATCACAAATGTGCGGCTCGGACGCAACCTCCTTGGCGCGGCAGTGCTCTTTGATGGCCGGCGCAGGCGCTGCGGTCGTCATGTCGGCTGCCTCGTATGAGTCATACCTTGGTGTCAGAAGGCGTTGAAACTTTCCGTTCGATCGAGCCCGACTGCCTGCAGTTTATTAATGATTAACCACATGGAATACAGGTTTTCAACCAAAAATTCGCAGACAGCTAATCTACCAGTCCTGAAAACATGACAACTGAGATAAGCAGCAGTCTAAAAGACAGATTCCCCACATGTTGCACAAACTAGGTCACTGGTTAGCGGTCGAAACGCAAAGCGTTGAATTAATAACCCCAGATCACATCGTGCGCAACAAGCAGAAAATCCCGCTCCAGACTTCCACGTCCCATTCGCCAGTCCACAGAGCTCGGAAGATTCACCAGCCAGGAGGTTCGCGAAGATGACCACAGACAGTTGAATGAAATGAGCGACGAAATGACGAAAATGCCAGGGTCCTCCAGGGTTCCCGAGTCCAGATCCACGGTTCGCACCCTCACCAAACACGAGGGAGCCCACACGGAACGCCAAAGCACTGCACTAGCTAGGTCACTGGTTAATGGTCGAAACGCAGAGCGTTGAATTACTAACCCCAGATCACATCGAGCACAGCGCCCAGAAATCCCCCGCAGTCCGCCCCCATGGCCAGCTAAATTCACCCCGTGGCCCCAACTCCAGGCCCCGCATGGCTCCATAAAACAGGCAGAAAAACAGTACGACATCAGATCAACAGTCATGAGTAAGAGCAGTAAAGAGTATCAAGGAATGAGAGATGTGCTGGAAGGCAGTAAGTGAGTTGATCCAGTACGATGGGCTCGTGGCGAACAATTCCGCGAGATGGTTTGTCCCTGCCAATCTGGTATGAACCAGAAATGGCAGGGCTTGTAATTTGTTCGAAAAAGCTTACCAAAAATAAATTGAATTGTAAGGAAAAACAAGAACTCTAGACAAGTCTGTCTAGAGGAAAAAACGTAGTACAAAGCGTTTAAACCAAGCCTGCAGTCGGTTTTTGTAAGTTCTCTACAATTACAAGGACTTAATCGTCTTGCTTGTTTGCTTTAACGGTAAGTACTGTACCTGCATGCGTTCAGTTGTGTGGGAAATCGTGACAGAACAGTGTAGCGGAATTCCAGTTGTTTTGGTTCCGGTTTGACTGAGTCACTGAGCTGTTGTTGTTTAAAGACTTTCTGCTGCTGCAAAGCTGTTTTTTAATTCACCGTACAAGTATAAGTTTCATCACGTTCCATTTTTTTGCAGCAGCACTAACGATGTCTCAGACTTTGACAACAGCGTCTGCCGCCAGCACGGAGCGGCGGGGTACAGTGGAAAAGATCGACCAGCGGATGCGTCGGCTGTTAACAAGTGGCGAACAAAGTGACGTGCAGTTTGCTGTGGGACGACAGTTTGGAAAACCTAAAACAATACGAGCCCACAAGTACGTAAAGATCTGCGGAATACGATCTGTTCCCAAACTGCAGCAATGTATGGAGTCGAGAAGCTGATTAAGGTGGGACTGTTGCAGGCTTGTCTTGGGCAGCAGCAGCGACGTGTTCCACACCATGTTCTACGGAAATTTACCTGAAAATGGGGACGCTGCCATCGAGATACCCGACATTCCTCCCAGAGCCTTTGAAAATATGCTGAGGTACGTTTATGTGGGAAAAATGGTCCAATTGTATGGTTAAATTCACCGCTTTGCAGTTTTGTCTATACCGATTGCGTTCGATTGACGGAAAGGATGTCTTTCCCACGATGAAGTGCGCCGACAAGTATGATTTGCCGGTGTTGGTGGAGAAATGCTACGAATTCATCCACGGCTATCTTAGCGCTGATACGTGCCTGATGTTTTTGGAAAATGTAAGTTGTACTTTACAAACTGAACAGTATAGTCGCTGCAGCGTGCCGTTGTACATATGCGCATTCCTGTAGGCACTGAAGTGGGGTGTATGTGCAAGTGCAGAAAGTGTCGTGGAGAACTGTCTGCATTTCGTGGATATGAAGGCTGACATCGTTCTCCCGTCGGCACAGTTCCGTGGATTAGGGAAACAGGCACTGCAGATGATCTGGGAGCGAGATACTCTCTTTGTTGAGGAGAATGTCATCTATAAAGCAGTCGAGAAGTAAGTGGATGAGCCGGTCAACCCTTTTCTAGGTTTGCTAGAGTATTACATATCATATGTCGATCAAATTTTGCTGTTGTATAATTAACCTCCACAATACTAAATGTACAGTACAAGCCTGTCGACAAATTAAGCATTATTAAACCCAGCGAACATCAGAAATTTACGGATAAAGCTTAAATTCGCACTACGGCGCGCCACGTCACACTTTTTAAACACATAGCATGAACTGCGAAGCGCGGTTACGCATTGTGGTAACCGCAGTAACACACTGCGGTAACGCAGTGCAGTGTCCATCATTCAAGCGCCAACTTTGATATATACTGCTACCGACGATAGATCAGTATTTAGTATGTATTGCAGATGGGCTCGGGCCGCGTGCCTTTCAACTCGGGGAAGCCAGACAAATCCCTGCCCCAGAGTCTCCGTCTCGCCTTGGGTCCTCTTCTGGATCTGGTCAGATTCCCTCTTCTCACTGATACCCAACTAGCGGACGGTCCTGCCAAGGTACGGTGTCCCCATAAATACCATAATATGTCTATTTGCGGTTGTTTATACGCATGCACCAGGAAAACCTGTATATAATCCAGACTCCAACAAGAAGCCTACATAACTTGACTGTACAAACAAAAAACAAAATCCTGTGTTTCGCTACAGAGTCATCTGCTGTCAGAATCAGTACTGCTGAGTGTATACGTATACAAGCACGCCACCGCCAAAACAGAACCACTGAGATTTTCCACGGTGCCCCGCCGACCACCGGTCATCCGCGTCCAGCATTTAGAATTCAAGGCGGATGAAGAAGGATTTGTATGGGATAGTTTCCGTTGGCAGTCGGCAACTGTGCTTGGCTCGCGTGGGGCGGCAGTCGTGTGTATGGTTGCCGGTAGCCGAGCCATACGAAAAGCACAATTGGACCACTTTATTCGTGCCTCGGATATCTTGACACGCGGTCGACCGGTCCGCTGGTATGACAGCGGCATCGTTAAAGATGCAACGTACGAAATGCCTCACTCCACCACAGGCGAGCACATTGTCCGGTACGCCGGTGTGCCGTGTAAAGCGCCATTCGGGGCATTGCACTTGGAGGATGCTGTCGGAGCAGCATGGAAAGCGGCCCACAAGAATGACGGTGAAGGAAATACCGAGAATGGGAAGAGGAAGCGTTCACTGGATGCCGCTAATCTCGCCTAATTTTCTACGTTTTTGCACTAGACATATGGCAGAATAGTTTTCCTTTTTCTGGCTGTTTACCTGCGTTGGATTGAAAAATGAACTTGTACTTGGGTTTTCTATCGTGCAGATGAGGTCACAGCGCGGGAATGCAATATGCGTAATGGGCCCGATTCCCGAGCAAGACAGTACAGAGAAATGTTATTGTTGTGCTTCGGGTGTATCTGTTGCGGAATGGTTGTTGTATGACTTTATTTTTGTGACTTCCCATGATGCCTTGTCTTTATATTCATTCTCTAAGGGTTCGAATGCATTGTCAAAGCATAATCACCCGTGTTGTGATGCGATTACAGTTGGCAGTCAATAACAATCTAAGCTTCCGGTTTCTCTTGTACAGTCCCAAGCAGAACGTCTACTCTAGGTCGGTGAGCGAACATTCTCTGAGCTGACAAGTTAATCAGTGCACTACTCTACGCCAGGCGCAGAATGCTGGTTTATGGCTGTGTCACACGTTCGAACTGGAGAGGAACTGTGTCTCACGCAATACCTAGCGGAGGTTTATCGAGAACGGAGAGTTTCACTGAAATCCCGGAGATTCAGCCAGAAGGCTTTTCCATCTTAGGCAAGAAGGCAAGTACGTGAATGTGAAGATTCCTCGTCCACCCGCCAACCTGACCTACCGCGACAACGTCTTCGTGAACTTTGACTCCGAAAACCCATACTGGTGTCCGACCACAGTTCTCGCAGTAGATGGACCAGATGTGATCGTGGCGATGGAAGGAGGAAGAGCCCGGAAGCTTTGTGCTGGCAATCCGGTGGTTCGCGCCGTGGATATCCTGACAAATGGCCAACGGATCACAAAGCGGCATTCGGCGTCGTATCACGGAGGCACTTACCTGGCTGGGGCTGGACGCGGGGACAATGAGCACACCGTCTACTTGCATGGAGCCCAATACGTGCGGATTGTACAGCCATTTAGCAGCTTGAGAATCACTAATTGTCAGATGGCGGCTTAGCATGCACAACAAGAAAATGTCCGGCGGGCGGCGGATAGCACGAAACGGCGTCGACTGCGTTGACGTAGTTGCTACGTACCAAGCTCTGGGCATCAAAATCTTGGACAGCTTTACTTTCGCCTCCTATGTCAGTCAGGACTCCGGAGGAAAATTCTGCTGCATTTTAAAGGCACGGAAGAAAGCCTACTCTCCTACTCAAAAACTTAAAAACAAACGTTTTCGATTTTAAGATTTTCCGTAAAGTGGAATGAAACCCAATGACAACTCGGTAAATTAACGTGGCGCTTCCGGCGTCGGGCTTCTTGCCACTGCAGTTCCTTCATCGGTCTTTTGCGTTTCTTGTGTTTTGCGAATGCTGTTAAGTCATGTTAATTGTTAGTTCCTTCACTGATGTTGATTTAAAACGTTACCTTAACAAAATGCGAGTAACGAACAGCGCACTATGATGAGATAGTCAACAATTCAGATAGTCAACAATTCAGATAGTCAACAATTCAGATAGTCAACAAAAGGGTTAACCAATGATTATGTCGTTTATTTAACCAACTCAAGCATTCCTGTTATTCGTGAAAGTTAGCATGTTTTATAAAACGGCCACAAAGAAATCTCATCAAGCGGTTTCTTACTGACATGAGTGACATCCAAATGAATATCGACCATATTCAGTGAAATTAATACAAGTGCTCGCTGTTATCCTTTACGATTCCCACGACAGCACAGCCAAACGCCCATTTCCCAACAGGAAGCTGGCATTCCGAGGTTGTCCATGTGTCCGAAAACACGTCGTAAACGTAAATCGTGTTCGTAGCGACACTGGCCTGGTTTAATCCACCCAGAACGTAAATTTTGTTTTCCACACAGAAAGCACTGGCACAACGCAGCGGACGGCAGATATCACCTGCAACCCAATGATAAAGCGGCATCGTACAGTTTCCAACACGCTATCTAAGCGTAGCTAGTTTACTGTACTGCTAGTTTTTTTAAAAAGAATTCCTCAAACTAGTGTATTGTACCACAACAGCGGTACCACTTACATTTCTTAATCCACTGCTTCGTCGTGGTGTTGTAAGCTTCAACACAGCTCAAGGCGCTACCGCTCTTTCCACCTGTCAATGCAATAAAAAGAAACAACTGTTAATTCGTACAGCTTCGGAAATGTTTCGCGCCGTTCGCACCCATAACGTAAATCCACCCGTCGCATCCGACACAGGCAGAGGCGCGAAAGCGTGCAGTTGGCATCCTGGGCAACTCAAACCAGACATCCGCATTTGGGTCATAGCAGAATGCGAAATCGGTAGCCGTAAGAACATTCGACGTACAGCCACCGAAAACAAACAGCTGACCGTCGTAGCCGACAATGGCGAACTTCACCAGTGGCGTTGGTAAGGACGCCACATACGTCCACTGATTGGTGGTTACATCGTAGCGCTCCACGGTGGCCAGCGTGTGCGTATCGGTCCCATGGCCACCCACGGCGTAAATGTGGCCAGCAACTGCAGCAACACCAACGTTACCTCGGCCAGTGTGCATCGGCGCCACATCGGTCCAACAAGTACGGTCATAGCGAATCGCTCGCGGCGTCACACGCGAATCATCAAAACCGATAATGCCGCCGCAGAGGAACAGCTCATTGTTGATGACCACCAAACCGGTTTTGGCTACGCTGTACGGAAGCTGCGCCAACTGCCTCCATTTGGAAGTGATGGGGTTGAAGCCTTCGACGCTGTCCATCAGAGATGTCCAGGACGTATCGCGATGCCCTCCGGCACAAATAATAATGTTCTCAATTCCTACACCGATCACGGCAACTTAGAAAAGCGTTAGAATACTTCTGTCGGCTACAGACCTACCATACGACTTCCGAGCAACACTGCGCGACGACAGTACCCCCGCGTCGCATCCCGGTAAAACCTGCAAATAATCCGACTGCCGCAGCAGTGCTTCTCCACCGGCGCAATCCTTGAATGCGTTGATGCAGGCCAGCAAGTAATCATTGCTGCACCGTGGGCTGAGGTAGGTGGGCCGGACGCACTGCAAGATCTCCCAGAACTTACAGCGACGCTGCACTGGATCATGCTGGAGCCAGCGGATGACAGCGAGCAGAACCTGGTCTTCACAAGGCACTTGAAGATCGTCGGAGCGAATGATGTCGATAACCTGCCAAATACAAAGATGTGGGCCCATCTGATATGCTTCGCTGAACGATCTCGCAACTTCATATTCAGTATTATTATCCAATAATGTAAAATTTACGCTACTGATAGAATCGTAGCATGGCGTAAAATAAATACCTTTTCGTCTGGCACTTCAAGGAATTCCGGCTGCTGAGAAACAGAAACAAAACACTGGAGAATCAAAGCCTTGGCTTGGCGTGCTAACGCAGCGTTCTTTTGCCCAGCGGAATCCGCAAAACAGTACACCATCAGGCAGTTCTGAACGTCGATGCGGTTTTCCATAAACTTGCAGCAGGCGTCTACGATGGTGACAATGTCGAGGAACGATGCGGCAATAAGCAATGACTGCACATTACTGTCGGTGAGGAGGATATCTTCCATGTAGCAATAGTCAATTAACCTGCCAACATAACTTGATAGTATTACGAAGTACTTTGTGCAGCAAGAAAAAAACCCGCAATAAGGTCCGCGCGCACGAAGCACACGGAAAACAGACTGAACGTCAAACTCCCAGTACATTTTAGAAAAAATTGCCTAATCGCAACCGCAAGACGGCGTAACTAAACGTCCAACTTGGAGAAAACGAGACTTACTCGGATAGAATGGTATGGGAGATGTTCCGCAGCTGGATAACTTCCTGTGTGGATTCCTTCATTCCCGACAGAAACATGGTGCGAAAATACCCACTGTGCACACAGAGGACGCTGCGATGACATGGAATCCCTGTAGACTGTACTTCGGCCCCACGCAGCTCCACATCACATAATACCCTCAAAGCTCGCAGATTTTGCCATTCCCGACGCATATCCACACTACTCGCCGCAACACGAGTGCCATTCGTATCTTGCTGTGAACACTGTTCCTCGTGGTTTTTTAACTTTACTTGTTCACCATTGACTGCCATCTCAAATTATGCGAATTACTCTGCGAAGTAAGCCAAATAACTGCACAGTGCTCCTGGTTTCAAAAAGAATGGCCTATTCGATGGAGAAGTTCAACGTACTGGCAACAGCGAAATGTTGAGTAGGTTCTTGAGAGATCATTTTAATCTGAAAAACTGACAAATTATGAAGACAGTATGTTGCCAAACCACATATTCGGAAGGACCATTCTGCGGAGGTGTTTTTCGTTCTGTTACGGCCGTGCGCTGCCCGGTACGCGCAAGTTCGGTTATAACGGTGGAATGACCCTCTTGCCATTGTCACCATTCTTTGCATGCCCATTAACCGGATTCCACGCTGGGACCATGCATCCGCGTAGCTGACCTTAGATAAGCGACTGAATGATCTGTACCAAGAGATCAGTCTGCAAATTTTTGTCCCCACCCACCCTCTCCTGTATTTCTCCTGTCGGACGCATCGACTCCACGCTCCGATATGAACGCCTAGTTTTCTTCTGTTGTACTCATCATATGTATTTGTTTCCTTGCTGTTGTCACTCGAAATAAATGCTGTTTGTCCGCTCAGTTTTTTGTTTCCGCCGCCAAGAGACATATTAAGTAGGTTGCGTTTTGCACGGCCCTGCGATTACCGGCAAAATTAACGACGATTTTAACGTTGTTAATTTAATGTGCCGTTGATTGGAATAAGAGGTTGCGTTATAAACTAAGCAGTTTACTGCTCCTGCTATTAACGTGAGGAACCATGATTGTATCAGACGGTCTCCGCTCAATATTTTGTACCAATGTCAAAACAATTTCGTTTACCAGCGCAAAAATAACAAAATGCACGATTTTTTTATGTGGTACAAACACGTTAGAAGGAAATGCGATTTGAGTTTTCCGCACAGACGTTATACAGAAGTACTGTAACAGAACTATCATTCCATTCTGGAATGCGTGACTCGCTGTTGCACTTGAAAGATGGTGAATATGCACAGCACAGGCTACAGACTTGCTATAGCACATTGCTGCAACAGTAAAGTATTAGTTTTTGCAATGATTTTTACTAGTGTTGGGTAGTAAAAGTCCTTGCCAATATACTTATTTTTACTATCTGCTTTGGAAAGTTTACTTATTTTTACTTACTATTCAAAATTTTTCGGGACTTTTACTTACTTTTACTTTTTATTTCAATTTTCGCAGGGACATTTACATACTAAATTAAAGTAAATTTACTAAATAAATGTAATTTAGCATTGACAGTTTCGAATTTCGCTAGTTTCAGAGCGCAACAGACTACTGAAAATAATGCAGATAAATTTCTTATGCATTAATCGAGCTATACAGGTGCATACTGAAAAGTAAATACTGCTGCTTTTGAGGACGGCAGGCTGGCAGCCGACTACTGCGCACACCCACTTTACCTGCGAGTGGCGGCGGCTGACACGCCAATTTTCCGTAACGTTGATAAAACGAATTAGTAAATAATTTAGTAATTGATTTTTATTTATTCAACACTGAACCTTAATATTTACTTACTTTTTACTATTCCGGCAGCACATTTACTTACTTTTACTAACTTTGTTTCCAAAACCTTACTATTTACTAGACTTTTAATATTAGGCGGACTTTTACTAAGTAAATGGCCGTTATTTAATTTTATTTAGTAGCACAACACTAATTTTTACATTTATGAAAAGGCAAATTATTTTCTTTTCAATGTAACTGGCAAAAAAATAAATGACAGCAGTGCAAACGTCGAAACTGGTACGATTTTCGAAAATTCGAGTCGAGTGGAGAACTCAGGATTGAATGCCCAGGCAGAAATTCACTGGGTAGACTGTCTCGCCTGCGCAGTCTTCGTGCTCAGTGGTGTATGTGGGCCCGGTCGTTCATTACTGAATTTCAACGTCGTTATTAACGAAACGATACCCCCTTCGTTTCGTTAATAACGACGGATATTGCCGTTTAAACGTCCGTTAATTGTACTCCGTCGTTAATTCTATCGTCAATCGTACCCCTTCGTTGATACCGCAACCTGCTTATTTGCTTATTGAATAAATTTGCTCCCATGCTCACCTCCTCGCACACATTACGGGAAGCACAAGCGTTATACAATAAGTAAAATAATAAGAAAATCACCTTCACGCCACTGTCGTGTTTGTGGAAATGAATAAGTATTGTGGACCTTAACAGTGACTTACTCCATCGTAGGGAGACATTTTCTAAAATAAGACATTTGTTACTGGCAAAGCTAATCCCGAAACCAGCCATTGTAAAATTTTAGCTACTTGAATTACGTAATATAATACATTTTCAATGGCGTTATAGTTACTGGTTGTGGTTTACTGCCTTTCACAGTATCAGTGATTAAGCAGTCGCACGCAAGATGCGCTCGTAAAGTATTTTAAAAACAGCAAAACAGAATACTTCATACAACTCAACCAAAGATGACTTCCGATTGCAATATGTCCAATTTTATCAATTAGGTTAATCATGCGCGTTATAAGGCAACCGCGGGGCTTCAAAGCGGACACTCGACTGCTTACTGCGCTTCTCAAACTTCCTTAACGACGTCAATCACAGCACAGCCAAAGCCCGTCAATCACAGCACAGCACAGCCAATCTTTCCGTCGGTTGGTTCAGCTTATTGTCTAGCGTTGTCCATGTGTCCGACGCCACATCGTACACTTCACACAGTCGGTGGCAAACACCACCCCAGCCAACCAGCACGTAGATTTTACCTCCGACACAGCAAGTCCCGGCCGAACGTCGAGGATGGCCCACACCACCTACAAAAGGCATAACAGACCGTATGGGTCAGCTCAACCAATTAGCTAACCGCGGGTGCTATCGTTTTAAAAAATCGGATTTTGTACAGTACTTCAACGTTTTGCGAATTCCGGACATTATCACAATATGGATTGGCGTATCGCCAGAAACACGGTATTTTCGATTGTTCCACATGACGCAAGCTTTTCAAAATTTGACAAAGTAATGATTCTTATTTTTATACCAACTGGTACAGGTGACTAATAAAAGCTTGTCAAGTTTTCTTATGTGGGCCAGCGCAAAAGAATACCGTGGCCTCTGGTGCCCGGTTCGCGAATCCATATTGTGAATGTGTCCGGGTCTAACTGTAAGTACATTTTTTCATTCACTCTCTGGTCACTGGATTGAAGGCCTCCACCGAACCAAGGAATTCCCCATAATTCGTCTTGCTTCCACCTACAAATTGCAAGCAGAACGTTGAGTGACTGTAAGTGGCGCGAATTTTTTCGTAGTCGCATGAAGTTTGATAGTTAAGTACCGATGACATAGATCCATCCGTCCGGTCCAACACATGCCGAAGCGCGCAGACGTGCCGTCGGCATTGTAGGCAACTCACTCCAGACATCCGATTGCGGATCGTGAGAAAGCAGAATCGGTTGCAGTGTGCATACCCGTCGTGTGACCTCCAAACGCGAACACCTGACCCTCGCAACTGATAACAGCTGACTTTTCTAAGGGGATGGGTAAGGATGCCATATACTTCCACTGGTTAGCCACCACATCGTACCGTTCAACGGTGGCTTACTTTGCGGAATATTTGTCATGGCCGCCAACGGCGTAAATGTGACCGCCCACAAGGGCCACACCGGCATCACATCGGCCAGTGTGCATCGGCGCCACATCGCTCCAGCTAGCCGCTAAAGGATTGTAGCGGAGAGTCCGCGCTGTCACATCAGCGTCGCTATGACCGTTAATTCCTCCGCAAAAGAACAAGTCACTGCCAGCGACCACCATACCGCCTTTGCCCACAGCGTAAGGTAATTTTTCCAGATCCATCCATGTTGCAGTTCGCGGATTTGAAGCACTCGACACTGTCGACGAGTGATGTCCAGGTCCCGTCCCGGAGACCGCCGGCACAAATGATAAGGGTGGACCGCTGGTGGCGCTTCTCCGCGCGGAACGGGAGTGCCGGCTTCTCCAGGGCGTGCTTGTGCAGAAATATGTCGCGCACCTCAGTGGGCAGTAGTAGTCCAGTCTAATATACAGCATGTACAGTAACTCAGACTTAGTAATAATCAAGCAGTTTAACTAATTTAATGTGGACAATAATAATTAATGAAAAATCCTTTATTAATGACAAGGTCAATCGGGAAGTTGTAAAAAATGCTTTCAAGGGCAAAAATCTATTCGGTCCGACAAGGTACCTACCGCCGCAGCTCGTTACTCACCTGGACTGGCCCCACTGCCAGTGCAACATCATTCAAAAGCGGAAAACGGACGAGGAAGAGCGCCGCACCCAGTACCTCGCGCAGATTGGCGGGGGACGGTTCCAAGCTGCGTTCCTCACAAGTCTGCGCCGCCCACCTGTTAGCAAAGGATGAGAAAACTAATCGATGGTCGATGGTTTTTGTCACTCGTCAATCAACAATCACTGCCTGAGAGGCGAAGAAATTTGTGGCACAAATTTTGTGCAACATTCACAACTACAAGCAAATCCGTATTCGTCCATAACTTTAAGAGCAATCAAGACTTTTATGCGGGTCTGTTTTTCAAGGAAAATCGCTTTCCTGTGTTACATCAATTCTTACAACATTTCCGGAAAACATCTATACTGATAATTTTTAATGCACGAAATTCAACCACTTCCGGTGCTTGACGTAATCACAGCCGCTCGGTGTTAAATGGCAACATGCGCTTGTCTGAAGGCTCTTGAAAATGTTAAAATTCCCTTTCCTTTCAATTTTGATTTGTTACAAAAGTTTTCTACAGTAACTTCCATTGAAAAAGTTCAACGAACTGCAGCGAGTTATTATTTGAAATTGCTGATACGCCGTTTGAACGAACCGTTTTGAAATTGCCCTTACTTGTGCACTGCTGTGTACACGACATTTTCGTCTGCGGCAAGAGTTGAACGGTGCAGGATCATCTTAAGACTTTCGTGTCCAATGCTACTGAACTTCTCCGAGCGCAGAATAGCATCCCCGAAACCATCCACGGTCTCCAAGCATTTCTCTAAAATCGTGTCGGAAGTGGGGGTCCACCGGTTAGCCTGTGGAAGAAACATGTTGTCGAAAGCTTTAAAAAACAGCACAGTATATAGAGGGAGCTGAAGCAACCAACGTTGTCCAGCATAGCCAGGCAGTTATCGACATTCAGATGTTTCCCAATGTAGTCACAACAGGCATCCACCAAAAACGGCAAACCAAATTTGTCTGCGCAGTGCAATGTCGGGAAGACGTTGTCGGCTGTGATGTTCTCCAACGAATCAGAGTAGACATAATTAAGCAGATTGGCGAATGCTTCGGAAGGAATATCGGGAAAGTGAATGACCAGCGGACAAGGTTCAGTGTTACTGGTACAGATCATGGTGTAGAACACATCGCTGCTGTTGCACAGAATATTCCTGCAAAATGACGCTCGCTCAGCTAAGAAACCCATTTAACCCAGCATAGCCTGGGATACGCTAAAGTCTGAATGGATCGCTTAATTACTCCATATTTACTTTTATCGCTTTAAGGCCTACAGTTAACTTATAAGCGTACTTGTGCGCGGAGAAAACTTTCACTGGGCCGTATTGGCGTCCCACTGCAAATTCCACATCGCTGAGCTCTCCGCTGGTCAACATGCGCTTCATGCGCTGAGCAAGAACTCCAATAGCGCCACGCCGTTCTGTGCTGCTTGTAACAGCACGAGTGCTACTGGGATCCGATGCTTGGTTTAGGCACATTATGAAATCACTTGAAAAAATAGCAAATTCAATTTCGTATTATGAGCACTATGAGCAAATTTATCAAAAACATATGCTTTATTTGGCTAATTAACCTTTCAAAAACGGCCCCGCTCAGTAACTCACCAATTATTCAGCTAACAAACACTACGCTTGTCAGAAGTTGCCAAAGTTCTGTAATACGTACATTTACACAGGGTTACATACATCATACATGAACTTGTGAGACGAGGGCTCACTAGCGTTCACGCCTGTGGCGCTAGGCGCTACGCCGATGGATTACGGTCTGTGTTGTGTCTCGCTCTGATTGGCTTGAGTTGTGTAGTGGGCGCGGCATAGCACGTGCTGCACAGTGATGCACACTGTAGAATTGGCTCTACGATTGACGATCGAGCTGCGCCGATCAGTGGTTGATTTTCTGTGCTCCAGACTTTCAATAATATTAAAAGTCAGCGATTACGGTGCGACGTTTTGTGTTTCCGCATAGTTCGCGAACCAGATCGTTTCGCTCACTCTACGGGATAGATTCCGTTTCTGTCTCCGTCCCTGGATCCATTCTGGATCTAGCATTAGATGGTAGCAGAGCCGACAGCGGTTCTCTGATTTTAATTGATCTGATTTGATTTGACTGGTATCAGGCAAAGTTGGCCTGTTATTTGACGTGTTCACCGTGACCAGTAAGGCACAGGTCTGTCCACAAGCAAAGCGCAACACCACAAGCGGTGCAATTTTCCCCCATCGGACGTGGATTACCAGCTTCGGTTTTTGGTACGGTATCTTCAGCGAAGAACCGTGCTGTTTCCTTAGCTGTGCAAGAGTTCAAGAGTTTCAGTCGTCAGTGTTCCTCGGTGTAGAGTCTTCAGCGAAGACCTACACTGGTGTCACTGATACTCGGCAAGGCTTCAGCGAAGCCTAAGCCGTGGGCCACAAGCGGCGAAGCGCCAAAAGGGGCGCACGGGAAAAGACCAGATCAGACTCCTCCAAACTGGAGTAGAGCACTACTACTGTTGCTACGGCAGTCAGCCGGCACAGTAGCAGACTAAAAGCGTGCGGCACAACCGCTACGGAAAAGCGGCAACGCAGGAGCGGATTGTGGAGAAGAAATTGGATCATTTGGATCATTTTCCCGTGGAACGGACGGTCAACAGGTAGAAACCGTTATTAATTACGGGATTGGTTAGACAGTAAAATCCGCAATTTCTATTGGCCGATACTGAGCTGAGCGTAGACGTAGGCGGGATTTGCACACGGTGCGCATGTCTGGCCGTTGACCGTGACGTCAGGCACTTATAAAATCTTAATGGTTTAACGTGATTGGTCGATTATCTGAGCCGTGATTGGTCAAAATTTGAACCGAATCATTTGAGCTAGCGGACCAATAGGAACGGAGTAAACAACGTAAATGGGGATTTTCCGTTGAACTTTAACTGTAAAAAGGCAAATTGAGATGAGACGAGATATTTGAAAAGAAAAGTGACCTTTAACCAAAATTGAGCTGGAAAGTGACCTTTAACTAAAATTGAGCTAGAAAGTGACCTTTAACTGAAATTGAGTTGGAAAGTGACCTTTGTCTTGAATTTAGCTGAAAGTGACCTTTTAACAGAAATTGAGCTGGAAAGTGACCTTTGAGCTGAGTTGAGTTTGGAAGTGACCTTTAAGACCTGAAACTGACAAACAGTGACCTTTATCGAAGCGAAGTTGAATTGTGTAATAGTACAGCGATATCAGCAGCTGTAGGAAATTGTTCGTAAACGCGTTCCGAATTGTAAAAGCGGTGTCGAAGTTTCGTCTGGAAAGTGACCTTTAGGGCAAATTTCTCGAACTTTTTACCGAAAAAGTGACCTTTAAACGGGACTTAGACGAATTTTTTCAACCGAAAAGTGACCTTTAACAGGAACTTTGAAAAATTCGTAGAGCGTAAAGTGACCTTTAGGGCAATCGAATAAACCATACAATAACGTGTGTGTGAGAACAATTGGCAGGAGCGTCAAAGTTATCCGATCAACATGGATAAAGACAACGCGGAACGGACATCTAACAGCAGCCAGGGAAGCAGGAGCTCCCGCGGATCACAGCAAGGCGCAGTTGATCCTTATAGAAAAGAATACAAGTCGCTCGCGCGTCCAGTCGGACATGACAGACAGACCCGAGCAGCCGTGACCTTTGCAAGGAAGGACAGCAAAGGCAGTGACAGTACATACAAAGTGGCGCTGGGAGCTACAGAGAACGAAGAGAGCTCCAGCGGAGATGGAAAGCAAACCCCCGCGTTCGTGGCGGGAGGAAAACCGATGAACCAGAAAAAGGTCACTGGTGAGGATGGAACCATAAAAACGGAAGCGGAAGCAGTCGGGGCATCACAGCTGGATGCTACCATTGTCAGAATAGAAGAGCAGGATAAAAAGGCAAACCTGACTCAATCGGAAGGTGGAAACACAAAGGTCACCGAAGCGGAACTGGCTGAACTTGGATTGAGTGACCTTTCGCTGAATGACAAAACGGCGGATGATGACCTTTGGGCAACTCCAATGGTCTCCGATGAATTAAACGAATCATATTTCACGGATGACGAGACGACAATGAACATGTCCTTCCAAACCGCGATGAAGGAAGCTGACCGTGCTGAAGGGATAACACCATTCAAAGACATACCGGAACACCTTATCGAACGCACACAAACGGGAAGGTCATCAATGTTCGACCGCCATCACCGAACAGTCCCACAACGACTTTGAGGACTCGCGTGAGGGAGTTGGAAAGCGAATTCGAAGCCAAGGGGAGTCAGGCAATGAAACGAACGAAAGAAAACCGGGATAAACTGTCGTCCCTGGAAGCCCGGATTTATGAATTGGAACAACAACAAGTTGACTTGGAAAGCGCAGCGGATGAATGGAAAATCAAATACGAACGTCAAAGAGAACTCGCGGAAGAATATTTGAAGATGACAGATGACAGAGAAATGGAAGGTCATCTCGCAGTCGGTGATCTTAATGAGAGTATGTCCGAAGAAACAGCGGAAAGGTCACGGCACTTAGCAGAATTGAAGGACGAATGAGACTCGCTGAAGTCAAAGGTCACCGAAGCTGAAACGAAAAGAGATGAATATGCAAACAAACTCGCCGATGCTACTCAGAGGTTGTTGACGAACACCACTGAAGTCTTCAAGCTCAGGAATGACCTGAAGCTGCGCGACGAGAATATCGGGACCCTCCAGAAGGAGTCATACGACCACCAGAGAAGGGCTGATGAAGCCGCTAAGGTGGCAAAGGACTTGCGAGATCTTACAGCCACCGAAGGTGTACGGTTGAATAATGAAATAAGACAGGTGATGGAAGAGAACAAGGCGTTGAAGGAGGACAACAAAAAGGTCACTGAAGAGATCAAAGAGTTGAAAGAAGCCGCGAAGACAATTGCCGACCAGGGCTTGAGATGGGAGCATGAGGCGCGCCTCCTGGACACAAAGGTCACGGCACTTGAACTGAAAGATAAAGAGTGGCAACAGACGGTCCATCAGAAGACACAGGAGATCATCAAACTCAACACGGAGTTGATCGATATGACCCAAACGGCAATGATGAGAGAAGATGAGGTCAATCAGACAAAAACCCAACTGAAAGCGGCAGCCGATGAGTATTCGAAACTGGAAAGAGACGTGACCCAGTTGGCGGAACACATCAGGAAAGTGGAAAATGATACTGAAAAGGTCACCCAGGAAAAAACGTTCCAACTACATCAGCACATGTTGAAGGTCAACGAAGAGAATCAAAAATTGAAAACTGAAAAGGAGGAATATCAGTTGAAAGTCAGACGCCTTGAAGACGAGAATAAGGCCCTCAACATGTCAAACAAACACAAGGATGAACAGCTTCTGCAATATGGAGTCAGAACAGCAGCAGTGGAATCACCGCCGCCCAGTTACAGCAAAGCACATGAAACGGGCACGGGCAAAAGTTTCCATTTTGAAATGCCGCTACGAACTGGTACCGGCAAAGGAAATGTCAAAAATGAAACGAACGGTGACCAGGACAAAGAACTACCATTAGGAGGTTATCCACAAACGAGTCACGGTGATCCCTCCCAATTTCCCCCGCACATCGAAACGAATGTCTTCGTCGATGAAGGGAGAAGAGACCGACCGCCCAGCCGGCAAGAGCGCCCACGGAAGTCCCGCTACGGAAAGGCGAAACGAAACCAAAACGACGATGAAAGTAGCGAAGAGGAGGATGACCCGACAGCAGAATCGACAGCCGCACAATTGACAAAAGCACTCAATTCGATGGCTCGGAAAACGACGTTAGTGACCTTTGATGGAAGTCGCGATGCAGTTAATGGCTGGACACAATTGGTCAGGGATACGCAGCGAACATACCGACTTACTGACGATCAAATCCTAATCGAAATAGCTAGTGCGGTGAAGGGACCGGCAAAAACCTGGTTCGAAGGAGAGAGAGAAATCGCACTCCAGGAAGAGATCGAATATACGGTTACAGAATGGATGACCAAATTCAAGGATGAATATGGTGACCGTGACGAAGAAGTTCTTGGGTTACGGGAAGCCATGGCAGGGAAATTTGACCTTGGTAAAGAATCGCTTGATCAGTTTTATCAAGCGATCATGAAATTCAAGGCAAAGAGAATCATAACCGAAAAACAAGCAGTTGGTTTCCTGATCGAAGGATGCAGAGTCGACGGTGACCTTTACAGAGCACTGCGTACACAGCAGTGCAGAACGCCAACCGAAATCAAAGATTTCTTCCGACATTGGTCAGCTGGAGAAGAGAAATACAAGGCTCCCAAAAGTCAACGTAACCAAGATTACGTGACCATCCGGTCTGGACAAGTCGAAACGATGCCACAACAAAGGATTGCGGCAGCGCCGGTTCAACAGGCGGTGGAATACCGCAGAGAAGCCCCGGTGCAAGAGGTCACAAAGGAGGTGACCTTTATCGACAGCCAGACGGGACAACCAATTACGTACGCTATGGTGGCGGCAATCCAAGCAGCGGCTCAAGTGAGACCGGCACTTCAGAATGTGGCTCCACCGGCACCACAGAATGTGGCCCCTGTGAATGTTGGGGTACCACAACAGGGAACGGGCAACTGAAATTTCGGTGGAAACGGATACGGAAATGGAAATTGGAATGGAGGTCAAGGGAACTTCCAGAATCAGGGTCAAGGTCAAGGCAACTTTCAGCCAAACAGAGGGAATCAGAATAATTTCCAGCAGAATCAAGGGTCACGAACTGAGTTCAAGTTTCAGATGATCGACGGATGGGTTGCAAACGGCGTGCAGATGTGCCAGTACTGTATGTACGGTAACCACCAGACCCAAGGATGTAAGTTCGCGAACACGCCGCCAGACCAGAATCCGAACCTGTTCGCCTTCAGAGAGTGGCAACGCCTTCGCGCCACAGGCGGCTGGCGTCAGGCGGTGGCAAACGGATATGACCTGATTGCGCAATGGTACCAGGCTCGGGCAAACTTCCCAAATCAACAAGGAAACGGGAATAACGGAAATGGCGGTGGCCAGAATGGTGGCTACGGCCGTGGTGGCTTCGGCCGCGGCGGCTTCAGAGGAAGAAACAGAGGCTTCGGCCGCGGAAATTGGAATGGCGGCAACCGAAACGGTGGAAACGGGGGTGGCCAAGGAAACTACCAACAGGGTGGTGGCCAAAATAATGGTGGTGGTCAAAACAATGGTGGTGGCCAGAATAACGGAGGCGGACAAAATTATGTCCCGGTGAATAACGGCGGACAAGGAAATGTGCAAGGAAATGTGCAGGGCGCGCAACAAGGTGGTGCGCCGGTTCAGGGAAACGGGCAAGATCAGTAGGCACCGGTGAGCCTACTGATCGACCCGACCCGAAACCACCGGATAAAAGGGAAATGGAAAGGTCACCACTGCAGAATGGTACTGCAGTGAATGTGACCACTGTGACGGCTATAAGGATGCCGTCAGCGCAAAAAGAAAGTGGACCGGCTATATGGATGCCGCAACCACAGCAAACGGCTATATGGATGCCGCCACAGCAAATAGAAACGGCTAAATGGATGTCGTCATTGCAAAAGAAAATTGAAACGGCTATAAGGATGCCGTCACAGCAGCAAAAAGAACTGGTTATCGGGAAACCAGTACAAGTGGATAAAAGGT